GTTCAGGTTTATTGTAACTTGAGTCACTTTCGTAGTTTTCATCGCTTGCAACACATCATCCCAGCAGATACAGGTTAGTTAGTTTAACCAAACCTTTGTTTTATGTCTAATAATTATTTTGCGACCTTGCCTGAACCTGAGCGTTTGCGTTACCTTAATAAATTAAGGTTGATCAGATCGGTCAGCTGTCATGCTCCTGTCCAAGTGGATCAACGACCCAGCACAATGGTAAGATATTACTTATCTGGACAGCTATCTATATATTTCATTGAATTACCAGGTATTGTTAGGCTAAGTGTTGTTTGTAAATTGCCAACTGTTTGAGCTATGCTAGGTTGAGAATTAGCTGGATGCTGCTATATGTATGACTGTACTCCCACTCCGGCCAGCTATTGTCATTAGTAACTGTCACCTTGTCATTTTGCTATTTACCACACAGAAAGTGAATGTTCGGGAATCTTATATGCCTAAAATCAGATCTGGATTTGTATATTTACATGTTTTACAACCTGCTATACAACAGCTTTTCTACATTTTCTTGTTATTCTCGTTATGTGAAAGCAGATTCTTTCCCCCTAAAGGGGGCGTGGCCTTAGGGACTTGATGACATGCCAGTCTGACGTATAGCACCAAATTAACTGCTAAAATGTGGGGACACAGTGATATCTATAAAATATATTTTTCAACATGACATGAGTAGTCAGACCATCAGACAGGTTGTAATCAAACCAACACTTTATCCAGACTATCTAAACCACTTTATTCAGAGGTAAAACTCAAAGGCACAGGAATTCTGTGTGCACAACAACGTTGAGAATGAAAGGTCGAAGTGGAACCGTGAAGGATGTAATTTACAGAACAGATAAGAAATCCTTTACAACTTGCATTATGTGAAAAAGAGAACTGATTTTCCTCTTTAAAGCCTCTGGCTGCACTGTGGGGAAAATGACAGGATCTTGACAGAAAACTGAAGGATTTCTTTGATAATCTGGTGAGAACTAAATACATGAACAGGTCTGAGGCTTTGGTGCTTTGTCAATTGAAGTCTCGTTGTGTAATCCCATTTAAGTCTCACCTGGTTGAGTTTGCAGGGAACCTCAGGGTACTCCCCTCGCAGTACCTGACAGAAGGCCAGGGTGCTAGCAGCTCCTATTGTCAGGAAGCCCGTACCAGGCATCAGCAACTTCTCACCTGCTCCACCTGTGGCAGCAGAGGGCAGAAAATTATATAAACACACACTAGCACACTCATTTTAGACCATCTGATTATTTTAGAGAGTTGTGGTTGAGGTGACTATAGACCACAACACACAAATGAAAGGAATCATCTGTACTTTGATTATGAAAAAATCATGGATTGTTTTGGTTTTACTGAACATAACAACATACATTGTTACAGACTTTTATATGCTCATTTAAGTTAAAGCTGTAGTAATCAATATTTCTTATAATAAAGACAGATCACCTGACACCTGAAAGCAATTTCCATGAAAATGCTCAGATACACTGTACAATACTGTACAAAAGTTGGACATGGTGGCCAGAAACAAAGTTCACTGCTGCTCTGTGTCTGTTTGATAACGTGTTTGCCACACTGACTTTATGAGATATGTCGAAAATAATTTTGCTGTCCGTCTCTAACGCAGCTTTAACAATCATATTTCCTGCTTATTATGCATGAGCCTTTGTGTTCTTCTGGCTTCTGTAAAAACCAAACCGCAGTTCACTTCAGTTCACTTCTCTCGGTGTGTCTCTAGCGCTCGTAGGAATAAATGGCTTAAGGAGTCACCTGTTATGAAGGTGTAGGTACAGTTGGAGTCGTCCCTCACCAAGGGGAAGAAGGCCTTCCATGACACAAATGTGCTGAAAAGTAATGTCTCAATTACCTAGAGGGGTGATGGGAATGAAATATGAAACAAATCAGACAAGAATCAAAATTATTGTATTGAGGAAAAACCTCTGCAACAACATTCAGACATGATATTATAGGAGAACTCTCCGCTGATAACCAGGAAAAGCTTACTATTTAAACTACTCTTCCAACTACCATTACTGCCACTAGTATTACTATTACCAGTAATAATAGTTATATATTATAATAGTATATATCCTTACTGGAATACAAAGAAAATATAATAATATTTAATCAGAACCACTGGCAGTCTGATTTATCCGTCCAGCTGATGTCTGGTGTGTGCTCACCCAGTGTAGGTCTTTGAGAGACTGGGTGTGTGGTGGTCCTCCCTGCCACCAACTGAAGCCCAAAGAGGAGACAACGTCTGTCACCTTACCCACCGCCTTCAGCAGGGCCTGCTTTGCCTTCTCTGCTCCCTCCTCTGACCCTGGAACAGAGAGAAGGATTCAGGAGAGAAAAGGCGTCCACACGGTGGTCCAGCTGAGAACGTCCTTCAGGCATTTTAGATCAATATCTGTGACTTTAGACTCGTATGCTTGTACTTGTACTTTACTGATAAAGCTGTAACATTTTTATTTCTTCCAGTTCAAAGTTGATTTATCTATCATTATGCAACACAGGGGTGTACAACAAAATGCAAGCTGTAGTCCTTTCATGCTATGCAAGAATAACCCCCCCCCCCCCCCCCCGAAAACTATTACTTATGGTGGAGTGCAGAGGAGGAACTGAGGATGAAATGTTATTGGTGTAATACAATAAACTTTGCAGCCTCTTGGGGCTGCTAGAGATTATTTACAATGCACATGCTGTATGTTGCCATATGCATTACAAGTTTACATGGGCAGCTCTCAGTGAGATGCAAATTCCCACTGTATACAAATTGGATGACATGACATCAGCCTGACTCACAGAGAGGGGCTGTGGGGAAGAGAAAACAGTCCCCACTTGTTCACCCACGGGAGAGACGATAGAGGGATGACAGACAGCTATCTAGATGAATGAAAGGATGTGTAACTCAACGTACCCACATTCCCCACTATAGTGGTAAGGTTTTCCTTTGTGTTGGGAGAGACAAATGATTGGAGTCTCTCCAGCCGGCTGCTGTCCCTGGAGATCACTGCGACTTTGAAACCTGCACACACACACACACACACGCGCGCACACACACACGCGCACACACATGCACAGCAGATACTACATTAATCCATAGTGCAGACAGACAACAGCACATTTAACACATACAGTGGGTCTAATCCCTCTCACATAAAAACATTCACTAATAGGCCTGCATTGTCCTAATCTGTTTATCAAGGTCATCAGAGGGATAAATGTGACAGAAGAGCAGATGGGAACTTTCTGCTCAGGGCAAACAGCAAGGGTCCGGACATGCAATGTAAATCTAAAACCAGTGTACTCTCATCACAGCGTCCTGCAGGTCTCTTTCACTGGTTCATGCAGGATGCAGAGGCAGCAGAGCACAATAACTAACCCAAATACATTTCATCTTTGGGACTGAAACAGCCTCTAAAGTGGGGTGAAGATGAACCAAAACCGAAATTACACCCAACTACAACCATAGAACATAAAGTTTATAAAAGGATAATGACAGGAAGTATCCACTAGTGATCATAAACTCACATAATTAAAGCGCAGATAGTAACCGTTAAACCTACATTATCAATTTTCACATGTAGCCGAATGTAAATCATGTTGTCCATACTGTATGAAAATGTCAATGTCGTTGAAAAACAAATAAAATCCAAGAAGCATTTTTGACTGCACCGCGCACACATTCTATATTATACAAAATCTCATCAGTTTCCCTGTGAATTTTTTCAATTCAATTTTTCACGATCTGGGTTAAATTAAATTAAATTTATATGGGTGTGAACAACCTTTACCCCTGCCAATATATATTTTATATCATATCACACTATGTTCAATAGTGATTGTCGGGTTCATGCCCACAGTAAGTTAGGGCATGTGAGTATTGTGAACACTTGATGGATCATTGTGCGCACAGCCAAAACCAATTCTGACGCGCCTTGAATGTTTTCTGGCTTGACTCGCAGGAATCCAACTACCCACCCTTGAATGTACAGCACAGTGCTGCACAACGATTTTGGCCAAATACTTGATTGTTTGATCTCTCAGTAAAATGCTTGCGCTTGGAGATAAACCCGCTAATTGACATTTACGCACGCAGACGCGCCATCAACATCGGATTAAAAGCCAGACATTTAATGCTCATAAAGTACTCATAAAAATTCTCAGCCGTTAATCATGATGGAATTCCCCCTGCGAAAACCTGCGAGATGGAGACAAAACTGTTTAGATCGTCTCCAAATTAATTAGGATTTCAGACTTAAAATAGAAAATGTAATATCGTCCTCTGCTCCAAAGAATATGCTGAGAATATTTCTTATATCTCCTCCTAGCAGAAGAGAAGTGGTTTCTTTGTGTCTCCTTGTGGCCCCTGAGCAGCTTACCTTTGTCCAGCAGTGCTTTAACTATCCCAGAGCCCACTGTCCCCGCTCCTCCTAGAGCTAACACAACTCTGTCTGAGTTTGACATGCTGGCTGCAGTTGCACGGGCCTGCTGGAGGGCGGAGGATGACACTCTGAGTCCGCTGGAAGTGAAGTTGCTGAGTTGTGCAGAGCATCAGGACCAACCCATGATGCTTTAAAATAAATTCAGGGGCCACAGTTCCGCCCTTCTACCGGTGTCACTCAAGCCACGCCCGCAGGTCAGCAAAAGAGGCTCCCCACTGTCTTCACCACAGGACTGTGTGTGTGCGTGTGCGCGCGAGTTTACTCGCAGATTGACGTTAATGAAAAGAATTCAGTTCATGTAGGCTGTCGAAGTAGGGCCCTTAAAATAGATAATGCTGCCATCTAGTGGATGATACGTTTTTGACAATATAAGCTGGGTAAGTTAAACTGGTCATTTTTATCGATAAATTACGTAAAATCTAGTTTCAGTCTGTTATCTCTTTATTTCGTTTTCAATGTCGTTTTGATCCAGCATTTTGAGTTCAAAGTCCACAGCAGAACTCCTCTTCCCCGGCCCGCCCTGATACCACAACCACGCGCACCCGTCTGGGAAAACCCGTGCCACGTGACAATGTTTACTTTAACCACGACAATCACAGCTGCGCGGCGACTACTTTGTAGCCGGAAATGTTTTACATGATTTAATGACAAAAAATCTGAATAACTTCCAGACACAGGTGAGTTGGTGTGTCTCTCGTGGGCCAACCAAGGCTTAACGTTATATTTGGATCAAACTTTCAGCTGTAACGTTAAGTTAGTTACGAGGTTAGCTTAGCTTCGACACTTTTTTCTTGAATTGAGATTGTCATTCATAAGTGTAAGTAATTTAATATTGCCTTGCGTATCGGCAAAAGACGCCTTCAAAAACCCGAACCACAACGTGTCTCTAAATCAACGACAGTCGTCCTATAACTCGGCGTATGTCCAAAACAACATGAAATTCTTCTTCATAGGAAATCTGTACTTTTCTGAGGAGATATGATGTTACTTCCTGGCTCCTTGCCCATATATTTAACGCGTTGTTTGGTGGTGGAGAGCAGTCTGGCCCAATTCTGAAAGTTGACTTTTCGTTGGTTGGTAGATTGTATGTAAACCGGGTTTAAGAAAAACGTTTGGAGTGGTGTTTGATGACAAACTCTTCGATGAATTAAGTAAAATACTTTTAAATTTGCACTTAATTATAAGCGATTTGGTGTGAAGTTCTCGCCATAAAAACCTAAAGCAGTAACGGGTAAGTTAACCTAGCAAAATAGCTAGTCAGTGTGGAAATAGGTTAAGCTAATGCTAACGTCAGACTGGGCTGCAGACGAATATTGACTTTTCTCCGGCTGATGTTAAATAACGTTAAATGTAAAACTTTTAACGCTGAACAAGTTAATGTTACAACGGCGGCGTTGTACACGTAGTGTGCTTAAAGTACATCAAGTCATCGGTAACGTTACACTTACGTTACTTTTTTCTTTCACTTAGGCCTGTCACAAGTTTCACTTTCGGTTATAAATGTGCTTACGCTCGCAACAAATAATAATAGCTAACGTAGTTTGTAACATGACAGGCAGCAAAAGGTTGTAATATTTAATATTTGTTGTGTCCATACTTCCCTCAGCTTGTGTTGCACTCACGACACCAATTGCAGATTCTTTTTACCCCATGTGTATTTTTATTTTAGTGTTTATTAAGTTTGCACAGTCAGCCTCCAACCAACAGAGCAGAGAACATGGTGAACCCACACTGTAACGTTAGTGGACAAGCTGAACGAACTGAAACTCTGAGGATAAGTGCGTAAATTAAGAAGAAAATGATGAAAAGAGTGACAGTTATTGGTACGAACCTCCTTTAGAGCAGCCCTGATTGTTTCAAAGTGGAGAGAGTACATGACAAGTCATCTAACCCACTGCTGTTCTGAAGGTGGTTGGCTGTTTGTCAGTGATGTAGTTAAACAATGCCTGCTGCTTCTTTATGCATTGACATTAAGTTAATCAGCACTTTTTGTGGAAGACAGGCGCAAATGCCCCGAAGGAATGTGTTGCAGCCGGTTTGCAGCTGCAGGCTGAAGCCATCTTCTGCACTGATCCCAAACCTTTTTGTACCTACTAGTCATTTCAACTCCAAAATATGTGAAAATAGGGCCCAGGTTTAACAATGCCGAAACCACCCTTTGAGTTGGATTTAAGCGATTATGGAGCATGTGTATTTGTTACATTTAGGTTTAGGTAAACTGTATTTCTCTTGTGGTTGTTGGAAACTGGTCAAAATACAATTTACTTACAAGTCTCCTACTGAACGCCGTCTTGCTTTTCATTTAAGAAAAATCTGATCCTTCCAAGAGGGGAAACCTTGCAACTAATAATTTATTAGATCAGTGTTTGTTAAATATAAATTCTGTACAGTTCTGTAATATGGTGCATTTATGATCGGGAGAGAACAAGTGAACAAGTTTCAGCCTTCATTTCAGTGTCCTGTTTGTCCCCCTTCTCAGCTGAATGAAGAGATGAGCATCTCTACGCAGAGAGCCAGAGATCTAGTGAGCGCCTACGATCACAGTTTGGAGCAGCAAATTGTGGGACGAGGCTCCAACCTAGCATGTAGCGATGAGGAGCTATGGAAGCAGGTGGAGGAGCTACTGAGGGACGGAGATGCTCAGGAGACACACTGCCTTGGTCTGGATCCACTGAGGGTGATGGAGGAGTCGCTCAAAGCAGCAACAGCAGCATCAACAGCAGCAGCCAGCGCTTCGCGAGTCCGAGCCAGAGGGGGGCTGCAAGGCCTGGCTAAAGCTTTTGAGGTCCTGGAGCAAGTGGCCCTGAACCTCTACCTCGGGCCTTGGAGGGAGGAGTACAAAGTAGTCAAGGTTGGCTGAAAAACCAGCTGAAATAATTAAATGTCGGTGTTTGTGTTAAGAAATCAGTTTACTTCTGAGTTTCTTCTTAAAGTATCACACACACCATGAATGTCATTTATTTATTATTATTATTATTATCATGAAATTAAATTTTAATTAAAAGGTTTTTTCCACCCTGACAAGAATAAAATCCAGGATTCAATACTAGTTTTATTTTTTGGCATGACCGTTCAGGACAAAATCACTGGACTTAAAATATGATATTGGTGGAAACCTTGTACATTTCCCCATTTTTAATTAATTTTTTGTGTTCCAGATGTACTCCGGTATATTTACCCACTATATCAAACCGGTGCTGTCGATGCCACAGATTGAGAAACTGTTCGGCCTGCTAGGATACCAGTCCAGCTCGTCTCTGCACGAGCAGCTTCGGCTCCAGTCGCCCAGAGTCAGTCCTGACTCTGTGCGCGACCTCCTCTGCCTCGCGTGTGCATTCTTCCTGGCCCGCTGTGAGTGTTGCCTCCTTCTTACGGCTCTGGGGAAGCACTTTGGTGAGGCCCAGTGGGAGCTGAATTTGGTGAGGGAGCGGCAGAAAGGAAACAGCCTACAGGTATGTCTGCCTGGCATTTGGAGATGGGAAGCTTTCCACTTTTGCAGCCCCACCTTGTGATTAACTTATTTAACCCAACCGGTCAGTCAGTCAACTCATGCTGTGCTGCCAGACAGACTTTTAATTCTAGGGGAGATCCTAAAGAAACATGACAGCAGCAGCTTAACAAATGGAAAGACCAGGAAATCATTTTTGTTGTCTGCACGGTGCGGAGCGGCACGACTTAATTGGACTTACATCATACCTTAACATATGACAGCCTTTGCACTGTTTTGGCAAGGTAAACGTGATTCATTAAAATTGTTTATTTACATTTTAAGTATTATTCTATTATTGTTGGGCATTTCCTCCCCGGGCACCAAAATACCACACAGAGGGGCAAAGCCAGAATAGAGCCTCTTGTGTTTTTAAGGTGGATTTATGAGTATTGGCACATGAAAAGAGAGAGAGCTCAATTCCTTGTCACTGAATTTCATGGAAGAATTGATATAAGCCACGTTGGCTGTTGTAGTGTCACTCACAGGTAAGCGTTGTCTCTCTCAAACCCTTTTTAGAGGGGATCTTTTATCCGGTAGGCTTTAGGAATGTATTGTCTATTACAAATCCCGCATACTGTTTGGCACCGCATACATTTCCATCCAGACCGGCGAGTCTTATTTGCTGAGTAGCTATGCTAATCATTTATTTGTCTTTTTAATTTAAAATTTAAAAATCGGTTTGCCACTCAGCCCTACACCACCTCAGATTACCCCAGACTGTTTGAGAACGGCCGAACGCACTGAACACAGCATCACCAAGATCCAATCCTAGTTAACAGAAAGTACATTTAAACTGTAGAGGATTAATTGTCCCATGCATCTCAACAGGTCGCCCTGGACAACACCAAGAAGACGCTGGAAGTGAGCCAGCCTCTGCCGGAGCCGTTTGGGGAAGTGGAGGTTGATCTGTACACAGATGATCAGGTTAATGGGCGGCAAAGGCAGGTTGTCAATGACGACGAGAGTCCCCGCTCGTTGACCTGGGTGACTCAAAGCACCGCATCCCTCCCTGCAAAAACACTCAGCAACGGCGTGACGTCCTTGTCCTCCTCATGCACCTCCCTGTCCCCCAGAGAGGACGTCTGTGTCTCTACATTCAAATGCCGTCTTACCAAGACATCGCCACTGAAATCAGACACTACCAGGAGCTCCTCAGCCAGCATGAGGCAAGACAGACGTCCCTGTGAGGAGTCGAGGTTTGACAAAGCGGACTCGCAGTCACGCAGTCTGCAGGTAGCAGCTAAGGGGCTTTGCGAGGGCGAGGCTGAAGACTACAACTATTGCAGCTGTCTCCAATCTCCTCATCCTTCTCAGAACCTCTGTATTCAATGCAACACCTTGCACAATATCACCTGTGCCTTGCTTCAGCAATGCTGCAGGGAAAGCCACACCGTGGTATACCCTGACAATACAACGGAAGAGATGGAAGAATTGAGAGCAGTGTCACCCCCGGGTGGAAGCCCCAGTGCGAGTGGCATGAGTGCATCGCCAACTCTCAGCAGCAGCAGCGCAGCAATGTCCTCCTTAGCTCTGTATGATAACTCGAACACTAAGTCAGTAATTTCATCTCTTCATCCAATCACCTACCATGACTGCTGCAACCTCGCTGAGCTGGACCCTCAGGCCGTGTGTCTCAGCTGCAGTGTCTTCCACTCTGGTTCCTGCAGAGGGTTAGAATTTTGCCAAATTTACCACGAGATCAAGACACTGGGAGTGTGCTCCTGTGGGACGGCATGCCACAGAAAGCCTCTGGTTTTGTGCAGATATTGTGGAAATGAGTATTGTAGGTATTGTTGGTACAAAAGTCCTGTTGTTTGCACCTGCGGCCAAACTTTTGACCAGTCGTCCTCTGTGTGAAGCGTATTTAAGTATTGCATTAATGAGGCACAACTAGCAAAATGACAGTGCCTTAAATGTGTGAAATCAAGTATAATACATAACAAATTCAAATGTTGCCTTGTCACACTGAAGTGCAGTATTAAGTATGCTTCAATATTTCTACTTTGGTCCTCTTTCTGAGACTCATTACCCAGTCATTCTATAAGTAATTTACCAACATTTGTACCATTATCAACATTTTTCAAATATTGCATATTGTTGATACTTAAAGTTGTGATTACAGTTTGTGCTCTTGGGCCTCTTAAATGTAATTCAGTGTGAAGCACAAGGAAGTCTGTTTTCATCTGTATTTGTTGCCTGCATACAGACTGGAATAAAAAGCATCAATAAGCCACATGTCTGTGTCAGCTGTTTTATGAGGAGTTCTAGATACGTTTGATATGTAAGAAGTAACCGAGGCTGCCTAAACCCACAGAAATACTGTGGGGAGTTCTCCAAGACATTTGGGCCAACCTACTGCTGAGTTCCATCAAACGCTACAAGTGTACCTAGATGAACTGATGCAGTTTCACACAAAATATTGATTTGATTTTTCTTTTATTCACTCAAGTTGCAATTGGTAATTGACAAATATAATCAATGAACATTTCTATTTTTGAAAGCATTCTCACACCGGCCTTTTACACAGTATTAAACATGTTTCAAAATGTTACCTTTTCATAAAAGAAATGCCTTTTTAATGTTGGTGACAGAATATATAAACCAATAAATCAAATTTGCAGGTGCATGCTTTTCATTGGATGGATTAAATCAAAATCAAATCGGTTGCTGTTCAGCTCAAAACTGTCCACTAATTTACGGTTAAACTCTTTGTGATTTGAAAAAATTTGCTGACAAAACTGCAAAAAACAGTATACAAAGATATTTTAATAATATTTAATAATACATTGTAATAACACTGACAAATACTGGTCATGTGAAAGTCACGGAGTCTGACATGCTTATAAGTGAACCCTGGGTGAAACTGACCAGCCGTCATTTTTCACTCAACTCACGCTTACACAGAAGCTGATTAAATGTCCAAAGCAGCAAGCCAGATCTCTAAACAAATAAATCTTTCTGCTGTTTTTCCTGGGTCATGTCCTAGAGTCCTCTGTCCCCTCCCCGTAGTACCACAGTTGGATTTATTCGTTATGGTGGCAGACAAAGGTCACACATTTATCATTCACTCATATCAGCCTCGTTATTCTTCAAATATACACCTGAGCTCCACAGAACATGGCTCTCTTGGCTTGCACTTTAAGGTGAAATAGATTGTTGCTTTGGGGGCTTCTGCCCTGCAGCTTCTAGCAACCTTAAAAAACACTTCCAGTGCAGTGATGGATTTTCAGTTGAAGCAGTTATTCCAACCAGAAACCAAAATGCATCCCTTTCTGCAAGCCAGAAGAGTTTTCACAAATCATTCCTATCATCCATCTTACAGGTTCTTCTGTAAATGTTTTTGGCTTGTCCTGAGGATCTTCTATTCATTATGTGCCTGCCAGTTGATGTTGATGAAGGTTTTGCTGTCCATGCGGTCGATGTAGAGGACCCCATCCAGGTGATCCATCTCGTGCTGGAGGATACGAGCTGGCCAGCCACTGGCCTGCCAGGATACAGCTTCACCCTTCTCATTCAGACCTGCAGGGAGAACATGCAGAGGGACGAGAAAATGAACACAAACACATTAACATTCGCCTTTTAATGTGTCAGCTGATTAGACAGAGGAATTCATTTCCCATGAGAAACGTTGTGTAGTATCAGCTACCTTAATAACATGTTTCATACTCAAATGAAATACAAAGGCACTCCATTTTGATTAATTTACCCATTCATGTTTTGAATGAATCACAAAGCTAAATTTAATTCCACGTGTTTGTTTTAGCATGAACAGACGTAGTCACAACATGGCAAAAAGGGAAATACAGGGTTAAGCTATAAACATGCATACCGGACACTTCCACGGAGAGGTAGCGTGAAACTGTGGCAGAGAACCCTGAGATGCTCTCACAGGCCTCCTGAAAGAGCACAGTCCGTCCATCCAGGACCCTCAGCTGGGGGTTGACAAAGATCCTCAGGGGCTGGAGGGAAAGACCACGGACCTCCCTTGATGCAGGCGAACTCTCCTCCAACATCTTCTGAGGATATTCCAGGGCCAGGATGCGGAGTGGCACCCCAATCTGAGGTGCACTCAGTCCCACACATTCAAGTTTACGCATCACTTTCACCATAGTGTTGATGACCTGTTGGATCTCAGGGCTTGTTATAGCAGCTGGGTCAACAACAGCAGCATGTGAACGCAACACTGGATCCCCTACCTGACACACATGACTGTACGGAGGACTGGGAGGGGACATGATCTTGTGTTTCATGTACCGAAGATAAGAGCGCACCTTGACGTTGCTAGAGTAAGAGTGACTACAGGGTACAAGCGAGTAGGGTGAGATATGTGGAAGACGAGTAGAAGTCACTGCCCCAACACAGCAGCGAGGGGCTTTGGATGCACAAGGTCTGAACCCCATCCTGGAGAGTTGGAGCAGAGACACGCATGCTTTTGTGTTCATGGTGGAGCTGCAGCTGTGATGATATGTCACAGATCAGGGGGGTGACACACAGTTCTGAGCGAAAATCATACAAAAGGACATAAAGTTAACGTCAAATCTTGCCCTAATGTTTGATACAACAAACGATGTCCAAAAGTATGTGGTCAGACAAACAAAACAACAGATGTAAATGTAGAACATGTCATTCCAAAACCATAGGCTTTTAGCTGTTACTATAATAGCCTCCACTCTCTTTCCACCTGATTTTGGAACCTGGCTGCAGGGATTTCTGCTCATTCAGCAACAGCATCCGTGAGGTGCAACATGGATGTTGCTTTGTGCACCGGGACATGAACCATGGTAAACAGGAAGTATGTTGACATGGCTATCAACAAACACACCTTTGGCCATACTGCATCTTCATGTCTTTTTATGTGCTATTTTGAACATTACCATAATTAATGAGGAATTTTAAACCTCTATATGTGGAATTGTAATTTAATTATAGCATATTTCAAAATATTCTAACGTTGAGTTTTTCACAATATAAAGAAAATTCCAGGGTCTCTGTGTTTAACGTTTTACTGGCTGCACCAATGTCGAAACATTTAAATGGAGACGTCATTAGAACGTTTCAGTTATATTTATCACATAATATATCTGTCGGTTAACACAAAAGTAAATGTGATCACTTTGACGTTGCGCTTCCTCCGTTGAACAGAAAACTTAGCTTTGCAGCGACGTTACGTGAAACCCCGCCGACGGTGCAGGCAGGTGAAACAAAACATGCGCTCCCATCCAACAGCTACCACTAGCTACAAAGCTAAATCGTTAGCATATTAAGTTATATAAAAACACGCCACTAATGCTATTAACTAAGCGTAGTATTGCCATATATAAGACGTTGCCTATCTCTGTTACCTTATACTAACGTGTACGCTCCCATGCTACGCGAAAAGGACCACATTTTGAGTATTCAAGGTGAAAACGCAGAAAAAAAAGATATCCAGGGCTCAAATGAACTACTTCCAGGTCAAGAACGTTAAGCGGCACATTGCTCTTCATAATAAAAGTCTACACGCGTTATTTGCATTGTCATCTTAAGGCACCGTTCCTTAGAAACCTTTATTTTGACAACAAGGAAGTAATTTGCATCGCTTTTTTAAACGAAATGATCTGAAAACAGTCTCAGAACTGGGATGTTCAACCCTTCCCATCCTTAACTTGCCGGTACATGCCCAGCTCTGGTCCAGCTGGGGGGGGGGGAGTGATCGCATCTAATCCATGAATGGGAGTTTAAAAGGTCCATTGATACCCGGGGCTGTCTCCTTCACAAACCATGCGGAGCTGCGCCTTGTAGTATCTCTGAGCACCAGATGGAAGGAACAGAGCTGCAGCCGCTTGATCAATGTTTACAGAGCTTCCAGAAGTTACCGCTGTGGATCATAGAGTATATCTGGGCTCACAAGATGACAGATATACAGGAAGGTTGGTTTTCAGTTATTTTTGGATAAGATGTTTAACTTGCCTTTACCTTAAGCTTTGTATAATGACATTCTATGCTTGATTATTTTACCCGATATACGTTAATTATTGTTAAGTGAGTTAACGTTACACTTACTTTGGATCATTGCAGATGCAGATCAGACACACCATTTAAAACATATAGTTTTTCATGTAACGTTAGTTTGTCAGTTTTCTCTCTGTAGAGGACGATCTGAATGCTTCCACCACACATGGAAACTGCTCATTAGAAAACCCCACCTGCCTGCACGTTAACACATTTAAAATTAAATGAAGATTGGGGCCGTCACTGCAAAACATGACTCTTTTGAAAGTGACAGTTGTAATGAAAGTTAAACCAGAAGATGATGTGAAGTCATGTTGCTTCTTCACAGCTGTGGACCCTTCCACTTGGCCAGAAGTGGACTCCCAGCCTCTGAGCCTTGAAGATTCATGGAGGCTGCGTGTTGCCTCTGCTAAGGTATATTCCATTGTGAAGAACAGGGACATGGCACACTTTGAGAGAGTAATGGGCTTTCTGGAAGCCACTTACAGACTTCTACCCAGACTGGTGTCTCCCATCAAGCACATGAAGATCATGTTTGGCCTCAAGACCATGGTAAGGAAACAGGTGTTGGGAGGATTCAGTCATTCGTAAAATTGGTGCTACCTACATGTTCTGGCTGTAGTTGATCCTTGGCTGTATTTTTTAGGTTTAGTAATATTTCTGAATTATATTTTTAGTTTCCCGCTTTCTGTTTATCTCCTCTCTCTTGGTTATTGTCTCTCCTTCCAGGTCATCATGTGGATGCTCAGGGAGGGTCGAGGAATGATTGATACTGTGTTTAAAATCAGCCAGTTCTTCCCAAGTAAACTACCTCAATACCAAGATCGATGTGTAAGTGTCCAAATTGGAACAATCAGTTCTGCATATTTTAAAATCTTTGAACCAGATAAACACGCTCTTATTCTAAACTCTTCATGTAAATTACACTAATCACTAATATGTAATACGAAAATCTTACAAATTTCTGAACAGTAGTTTGTGTCATTTTTTTCTTGCACAGAGCCAACATGAAATGTTCCTGATGAGGAAAAACCACCTGGATTTCAAGGCTCTGGCACAATCACTTGCTATGGACAAGGACAAACTGGAAGATTATATTAAGGTTAGTTTGTGTCTGTCTATTGTTATAACAGTAGGAGTAACTGCCACAGTGAAGGATGTAAGACAGTTAAAGTGTTCATGTACATTTAGCATGTTCAAATGAATTTTTCCTCAGTACTTGGTAATAACAGTATAGTGTCATACAGCCAGGTTAGAGGTTATTTGTATAGCAATTATCTCGGCAAAGTTACAAGTGCTCCACAAAATGAGAATAAAACAAAGATAAATAACCATATCAAACATATAGATACAATATGACCAACAACACCAAAGTTACAAATCAGGCATGTTATCTATCTATGATACTATCATAACAGTATCACATTCTGACTTGGATCATTGGGAGTCAAAAGCTATGTAACAGCACTTGGGGCCAGGCATGTTTGGCCTTAAAAGTTATTAAAGAATCCTGTCAATTAATCAATCCTGAATTTAACTGGCAACCAATAAAGGGAGGCAAGAGTAGGGGTGATATGGGATCTACAACTGGTCTAAGTTACAATTCTAGTTAAAAGATTTAACTAAGCCATGTAAACATTATATTGCAATAGTCAATGTGTGAATAAGACTTTGTATGTCAGGAAAAGACTAAGCTGATTTCATTTTGGTTATATTTCTATGGTGAGCGTAGCAGGATTGAATGAGATTGTTAATATGTGGTTCGACATTCTGTATTTTATGTTGGTAGCCAGTGGACCAATAAACAGTTAATACAGTAATTTGCTTGCTAAGTGATCAAGGACAAAGATTATTACCTCTGTCTTTTCTGAGTTTACCTGCAAAAACTAACAAGGCATTAATTTCATTTATAGCAGTTAAACTGCACTGCATTAAACTCCTCAGCATAGCAGGGATAGGAGATCACATTAAAATTACAGTTATCTACTAATAAGTACTAATGGGATGTGACATCTCAGTGGTGTAAATAAAGGAGTGAACAAAGTTTTTTTTAATTAATGTGTCAAGCTGCATGCATATAACTCTGCATGAGCTTACAAGACCCCTCAAGTGAATATAAGCCAGAATGCTTCATATACATTTACAAACAAAACTACAAAAAATTTGGGTAATTTTCAAACTCAGATTTTCAGTTTCATGTCTACAATAAAATTCATATTCTAATAAAACATGTATAATAATGGTGAAATCAGAACAGTACTAAATAAATCATCCATCTAGCCTTCCTGGCTTTTGAGACAAAGTTAGCAAACTTAATCCTAAATAGATCTTTTTCGATCATGTGTACACCAATTAATTGTTGAGCCATTTTATGGACAATTGGGATTCTTAAGTCATACAAATTAATTCACACAGCCCACACATTCTGTTTTCCTTCTGAATGTTTTTGAATCTGCCAACCTCAATGTCCAGAGGAAGAAGTGAAGCTCTCAACTGTGAGATGCAAGATGTAACATATGATTCAGGGCCAAACTTTGTCTGACATGCACATATGTCCTTAATTGTAGCTTTGACAAGATATTTTTAAATACTTTTCTTAAACCTGAATTAAACTTGAATAAGTACATATCCACTTAATATGTATGTTTACACACACATTTATGGTGTGTAGCCTGCTGTGATTTACATAGAGTATGGGCTAGACCTGCTCTATGAAAAGTGCAATGAGAGAACTCCTGTTATGAACAAATACATTTAATTGAACTGTGATTGATTGTGTACTGCATATGCTATTGCATGCATGTAATCAGTGTGTTGATTAAGTACATAGCGCTTTTGTCTCTCAGCCCCTAACTGTGAGTCATTTTCTATCCAGTAGGGTGCACTACAGGTCTACATTTAAATATAAATCCTCATGGATATCCTGCAGTGTCCATGTACTCAGAACATATACACAATGGGGCGGCTGTGGCTCAGGAGGTGGAGCAGGTTACCTGTTAATCGGACAAGATACTGAACCCCGAATTGCCTCAGGTGGCTGTTCCACCAGTGAATGAATGTGTGTGAATGGTGAATGCAGATGTAGTGTCAAAAAGACTAGAAAGGTGCTATACAAATACGGATATATTTAATAATATATTTACAATTATGTAATGAGGAGGAGTAATGCTTGTTGTTTCTTCTTGTGGCCAACCACATATAAGAAACTCTAAACTGTGGGGGATAGTTCTTCCTAGACTGTGTAGAGAGTGAAGCGGAATGTGGCACAAAACTCTTCAACCTCAAACCTCTGGAAGGTAATTAAGTACACTGGGCAAAACGGTAAACAAAAAACATAATAAGAAAAAGATGAATTTATGAAAACTCGTACCATGACTGCTTCATTTATCCTGTAAATTAATCAGTCTTCAATCACACACAATTGTGCACAATCCAGGATATCTTTCTCCATGACATTATGCCCTGATTCATTTTCTTTTTAGCTTTTGGAATGTATAATTGAACCCAAAGTACGTGTCTTAACTGTGTACATATGACAGAAAGTCTGTTTCAGGATGCTTCCAGATGACATGTTAAGTGCTTGTTGTCTTTCAGAATCAGATGGAGAAGCAGTATGGTGAACATTATGCCCAGAAAGTAGAGGACAGGCTGCTGCACTATCTGCATGAGTTGGAGACTGTGTTACCAGGAGATACCTACATTGATAAGGTGCGCATTTTATGATAGTGTGCTTTGATTTGTGCTTGCTGTTTGGTGTTTCCTCTTGAAACTGTAGCCCAAAAAAGTTTTTCTATGGACTCCTATTGTGTGAATTATAAACACATGAACAATGACACATTCTGCATTCAGTAGTAGCAAACATGAAACCTTGGTTGTGTCAAGCTTTATCTTGTATTTTATATTAAAAAGCTCCATAGCCCCACTAGTGGTCAGAAACTCCACAGGGTATCTGAGAACATGAGCGGAACAAGAGGAACTGTAAAAATGACAACACTTGAATTGCCTTGGATGTCAGGATAGGTTTGTCTAATTTTTGCTTTAACAATGTGTGAACTAGATACTGAAGAAAGAAAGACCGGTGACTGAGGAGGAGAAGCTATTGTTGGAAGTAATTACCTCGGACTCCACGACCATAGCAACAACTCTAAAGAAGCTGCTGCACTGTGGTAAGAAACACCCGCTAACACACAACAGAAGTAAAATACAAATTTCAAGTTCACTTCATGTACATCTATTGCCTTGAATTGCCTATGGGGGACTCTATTAAAAACATAATAGACTGTAAAACTTAATTTATAAGCTCAGTTAGATGCATATGCCTTTTAAGATAAGATACTGGCCTGGTGTGGCTACACATTTTGACAAATAAACACAGGTCTCAATTAGAAGCCTGGTCTGTTTTTTATAGAATGTATAAAACCGCTAAAAAGACCACTGGG